TAGTTTTGTTTTTTTTTAATAAACTTTTTTTTTAAAAGGTTTTATTTATTTATTTATTTGACAGACAGAGATCACAAGTAGGCAGAGAGGCAGGCAGAGAGAGAGGAGGAAGCAGGCTCCCCGCTGAGCAGCGAGCCCGATGCGGGGCTCAATCACAGGACCCTGGGATCACGACCCAAGCTGAAGGCAGAGGCTTTAACCCACTGAGCCACCCAGGCGCCCCGAGAAGCTGTTTTGAAAAGCACTGAGAGAAAGCTGTCAGCTTCATAGTGTCATCTGGATGCCCTCTCCCAGATGAAGCAGTTACTTAATATCAGACACAAATTAAACCACTCCTTCACTTATAAACTATTAAAGACCAAGAGATAACGATTTAGCCTGTGTATCCAACTAAATCTGATAGCTCTTGCTCAAATCACAGTTGCTGAACTAACCGCCTATCGAACACTTTTATGCCAAGGCTGCTAGGCTCCAGAGCATTGGTTTTGTTAGAAACCTCATTTGTTCTAAGCAGTTCAAAGGATCTGTACTTTTAACACATTTGCTTGAGAGAAGGCAAAAATGATTAAATAACCCCAAATTAATTCACACCTATTTCTGACCCTCCCCGACCCACTCCCAACTTTAAAGTCACCACAAAATATTCTGCAGAGGTAAAGCAAACTGGACAAGAGAAGACTTTTACTTCACTATTCCCATTTTCCCTTTTTCCTTTTCTTTCTCTTCTTTCATTGGTAGGTACTACGAAAGAGGGGGAAAGCATTTCAATCTGAGTACAAGGTGCTTGCCTGCATGCTACTGCAGAGTTTTACTTCCTGCTATCACTAACTGCCACTCACTACTTGTGTGACTTTGGACGACTTGCTCGCCTTTGAGTTGTACTATACATACCCTTTAAGAATTGTTTCCAAATCTAAAGTTCTATGGTTCTAAGATTAGAGAAGAGGGAAACAGTAGCCAAGTAAATAAATACTATGTTGTGACAGAGTTGATAACAATTATACTCTTTATTTACTTCAAGTTTTAGACCTCCACTTAGGAAGAAACAGACTATCCAGAGGAAATGAACCCAGGACTAGAAGTACTACTTTTGAATTCAAGAAGTCCAAGACAAACTGGTAACATTTCAGGAATTCATCTGTTAGCTGCTAATTTAGAACATGGAACATTTTTTCCACAGAAATGAAGTGATACATAATGGTTAGCCTCTTAGGCTAATTCACAAAAGTTCATTCAACCTTCCACTCAAGTGACTCTCCAGACTGTTTTGGTAAAAATGGAAAATAAATGTTGCCATACTAGTAATGAAGGAAAAAAGAGAAAAAGGAAACGAAAGAAACCACAAAATTATCTTAAAGCCTGTTCTTCACAATGAAGCCAACCACCTAATCCATTGACCTGATCACACACAGATCCTCCTAGTGTCCAGATTATAATGGCTCCATTACTTAGGTCCATGGACCCCAAGGATCCTGGCTTTATTTAAGGCACAGGGGGCATGAGGCGATCAGAGGTATGCCAAAGCCCAAAGCTGGGAGAAAAGCATAAAGCTGAAGAGGAGCACCTTTTCTTAGTTGTCCCCTGACTCCAGTGGGACAGGAACTTAGAGACCAGAGCATTCTCTTCACATCCCACCTCCAGGGTTCCCTGGCCAATGCTCTGGGGAGTTCAGTGGCAGCTCAGTAAAGACGGGACCTAAAAACATGCTTTCCAGCTCAGGCAGGGACTGTGGAAAGGAACAATTCCCTGAGCTGCCATGGCCAGTGCTCACCGCTTGCTACTGGCAGAAGCAACCATAGCTCTGACAGTGAGGAGGCTGCCTGGAGGAATGGCCGCTTCCTGCTCTGACTGAAGCCCCATTTCAACCCCCTCAAAGATCTAGGTCTTCCGACACATTTCCATGGTCACAAGCCTGCAGTCCGTAACTTGTGGGTACCTATCTTTATCATTCGCTAAGGCCTGAAATAGAAAAACCAAGCATAAAGCCAAACCAGTTCTTCTCCTGGGAAGAACTGCTTAATGTAGTTAAAACTTTAGGGGCGCCTGGGTGGCTCAGTGGGTTAAGCCGCTGCCTTCGGCTCAGGTCATGATCTCAGGGTCCTGGGATCGAGTCCCGCATCGGGCTCTCTGCTCGGCAGGGAGCCTGCTTCCCTCTCTCTCTCTCTCTCTGCCTGCCTCTCTGTCTACTTGTGATCTCTCTCTGTCAAATAAATAAATAAAATCTTAAAAAAAAAAAACTTTATAGTGATGTTAACTATCCCTGTGTAAGTCTGTATTTTGGGCAATTCAGATTTTTAATTCATAAGTACTTCTCCAAGTTCACTATGGAAAACAATTACCTATTAGATCTAATTTGGACAGGTTTAAGTATCAGGCAAAGGTATTTGCCACTCTGATATTCTAAGATTGCCATTTCAGTTTGCCATTAGCCCTCTCCCTGATATTAGAGCACTTTAAAACTAAAATCAACCTTCTGTTTTCATTCAGATATTATTAACAAGTAGCAAGGCATATGGTATGTCAGTTATCATTATATATATACAATATACCATATATATATATCTCCTATATATATATAGCTTTTAATTAATTGATTCTGAACATATGAATAGATCTGCAGTATACCCAAATCCATATACTAAAGGGATCTTTCAATTCTTTAATAGACATATATAAATGTGATAATCACAATCAAAATTGAGGTTTGGATCCTGCCTGAGTTCAAGTTATTGTCAGGAAGGGCAGCGTGGGTAATGTATGCACAACTACCACAGTGGCACTCAGAAGCTGATCATGTATTCAACTCTCTTTATAAATGTTGCTTTTCCCTCAGATTAAATCCAACTTTCCTTCCTGGCCTCCTCTTGTTTTGTTTTTGTTTTTATTTTATTTATTTGAGGGAGAGAGAGAGTGCACACACAGGCATAGGGGAGGTGGGTGGGGTGGGCGGAGGGAGAGGAACAAGTGACTTCATGCTAAGCTCAGAGATCATGATCTGAGCCAAAAACAAGAGTGGCCTGCTTAACCAACTAAGCCATCCAGGCACCCCCCAGACTCTTGTTACGTTGTAGACACCAACTTTATTTCTTCTGATACAAAATTCTGTGGTTCTCTGAACTTAACATTGTAAATGCTACATAGCAAAGTACTAGAAAATTCACTGAAAAAGTTAACTGTTAAAAGCTTGTAGTAAAGAAATCTTTCTTTCCTAACTTTAAGCCTAACTACTTACTGCAGGGGTGACTTGGCAGACTTCCAAAAGATTTTTCAGATTTCTCCCTTTCTGAGGCAAGTTACCAGTAACCCCTACCTTTCCCCCACTAAAACATAAGTATCCAGTGTGGGGGGGGGGGGCGGAAAGAATTTGTTTTTGGCTTGGTTTTGTTTTTCAAACAAATCAGGTTCTGCTTTCCCATTGCAACGTTCAGCATAATAATACAATTCCACCAGCTTTCACTTTTTAGATGGGCTACTTCCTGGGCTGAGTGGCAGGATACCAAAATGGGAAGGAGAAGTCAATGTCATAGTGTATAAATAGCTGTGGCCAAAAACAATATTACAGAAGAGTCAATAAGAGAAGGGCTCCCCAAATTGCAGCAAGAGTGACTTAATTCCATGTAGCCCTTCATGAGGGCCTCAGGGAAAACTATCATCAAGAAACAAAAGAAAGGGGGAGGCGGAAGCAGCCAGGACTCACATAAGATTTCTAACCTTTTGTTAAGGAAAGAAGTAGCAGTGTTTTCTAGGGTTTCTGAAACACGCATCTATCTTTTAAACCTCAAAGAGGAAATTTCTTCTAAAGTAAGGTAGATAGAAAATGCCATCCAATAAGAAGCCAATCTCTTTTCTCACACACAGTGAAAACCACTCACCAATACCAACCCGATTTTTAAACTGTTTAATTCATTATACTTGAGGTAAAATTCGCCATCAGGTGAACTTCACTTTATACAAAAGTAAACCTTGCATTATGTTATCATCATTCATTACACACAACCCAAAGGTCCACAGTTCCACACAATAATGATTGATACATTTGAGATCAGTGAGCGAAACTGCATGGGGCACACAATTCACTACCTAAATGTTTGCTGGACTTTTCAGGATTGCTCTCAAGTGCTGGAAGTCATTAAGTTTACCAACAGCAGAGCACACACACGTACTGCTTCGGGATCAGCAGCATTCACAAAATGTAGGCAATCATAAAGTTATGTAAGGAAAGCAATCTCTCCTCTGAGCAATTAGTTCGGGCATACAAGAATCCAGGAAATCGCGTATCCTCCTTGCGGGGCTGGGTCACGGGAACTAGGTAAAGAAACAATGCAAAGTACACTGGGAAACGAGGGCAGTTACAGCTAGAAGATGCAGGCAACGCCGCCAGAGGCATCTTCAAGCATTCCTTAAGAAGGAAAGTGTGTGTTGCCTCTAAAGAACCCCTGTTGACCTGGGTAACGGTACAAGCTGAAACCACCAAACCCCGATACGAATTCCAGCACATAGAAGAGGAGACTGGGGAAGAAGCATTAGATGACCCACTGCCTAGGGGTGCCGAAGCTGTCACCGCCGTGGGACTCGCGCACACCACGGCATTGCCACCTGCTTTCTACTTCTTCGGGGAGGGCTGGTGACGCGTGGTGGGCCCGAGAGGAACGGAGGCAAGGATAATGAATCCGCGGTTTCTAAAGCCCAAGCACAACAAAATGTCCCCAGAGCCCGACCCCCCCCCCCCGCCCCCACGGCCGGGCGACACTTCCCACGCGGCACGCTGCCTCAGGGGTGGAAGGCTGAGAACTTGCAGGAGGCTGAGGCGAGGGCCAGAGGACAAACGGGGAGGGAGCGACGCCAGCTCTGAGTAATGGGGTCGCTCCGGCCGCAGCGCCGGGACCGTGGGAAGATAGGCTGGGGGCGGGACCGCGCGGAGCCAAACAGCCAGGGGCCGGACCTGGGAATCCCCCGGGGCGAGGGCGGGCGCGGGCGGAGAGGGACGCCCTGGCCGCTACCTGCTGCTGGATCTTCCCGTCCTCCGTGACGACCCAGTGCGTGGTGGCGAAGGCCTCTCGAGCCGCCACACTCAGCAAGGCGGAAAGGCTAAGGAGCCAGCCTGGGCCGGAGCAAGGCGGCAGCTCGCACCGGCCGCGGACCCCTACTGCCGCCGCCATCTTGCCCCCCCGGCCCTACTGTTCACACCGGAAGCGGAAGCCGGCCCCCGCCGTCCGCCATCTTGGGGAGGTCGGAGCTGGAGGAGGTGGAGCCCCGGAGGCGCAGCCCCGGAGGCGCTGCCCGCTGACGACCGACTTTCTCAGCCTCGGTTTGGGCGGCGCGGACAGCCGGGTTTGGCTTCAGGTCGGAGAGAGCTTTTTTGTTATTGTTTTCCTGTAGGCAGTTCGATCTCGTGGCGTGGGAACCAGAGGGAGATAGAAGGAGTCTTCTAGGTGGAGTCTTCTAGGTGGAGCCTGAGCGGATATGAGAGGACTCTGTATATATTTACATATATATGTATTTAATAAAACCTTGGTTTTCATTTTATTTCATTTTTATTTATGGTTGTGTCATATAGTTTTAAAATAAAAGGTATGCTTTCGAAAGACTTAAGGGAAGAGATGGATTCTCTTTTGTTCTTAAAGCCTCGCAGTAGTGGAAGCTTCAGAGTTGGGCGCATTGTCCGTCTAGGGCAGCGCTGTCCCGTAGAAGGATGTGAGGCTCGAGCCACGGAGAAGTGTTTTAAAAGAGCGAAATAACGCATTTGATTTAACCCATTGTATACAACACAGTATTAGTTCAACATAAAATCTGTACAAATGACTGAGCTATTTTATTTTTAGTACTAAGTCTTTTAGGCTTCCAGCTCGTCTAAATTGAGACTGGCTAGGGGTGCGCCTGGGTGGCTCAGTCGTTAAGGATCTGCTTTCCGCTGGGGTCATGATCCCAGAGTCCTGGGATTAAGCCCCGCATCAGGCTCTCTGGTTGGCGGGAGGCCTGCTTGTGTTCCCTCTCTCGCTTTCTCTCTCTCTGCAAATAAATACATAAAATATTTTTAAAATTTTAAAAATTAAAAAAAAAATAAATTCAGACTGGCTGGATTTCAGGGCTTAAGAGCCACATGTGCCTGGTGGCTACCTTACAGGGCAGCACGGGTCTAGGCTGGAGGTCTAGATCAGGAGACCCATAGCATCGGCATCACCTGGCAGTTTATTAGAAATGCACCTTCCTGGCTCTCTTACCCGACCCCACCAGATTCAGACTTTCCGCAAGGGTCCCAGGTGACTGGTATGTACATCAAGAACTCTTCTCTCTAGTGAAACATCATGTAGGGAGGCCAAGGGACTAGCCTGGCTTCTAGTAAGATAATGTTTTAGGTATTTCACGGCTGCCTTCTGGCTTTGTGTGTCATTTTGTGTTTAGGTTCATTATGCTTTTGGTTTTCTCTTTGGGAAGAGGAGGTTGAGAATTTTGCCTGACCGCCTTCCTACGCTGACGTATTGTCAGAAAACAAAAATAATTGCCAAGTGTTTAAACATCTCTTCCTACTCTGGGAGCAACGACCACAGCACTGGTTTTTAGTTCCTTTCAAAAGTAGCTTTCCTTAGAGGATTGAAGTAGTGAACATTCATCTCGCTAAAAATGTATGACTTACCCACTTTTTTGCCTAGTACTCTGCTAGACAGCAGGTATGGAAATCTGACCACTGAGCAATGTGCCAATTCAGTGGAATATTGGCAGGTTAACAATTGAAATACAGGATAATGGGGGTGTATAACGGCACATGTGTAGAAGAGAGAGCAACCAACCAGATGAAAGCCTTTTTTTTTTTTTAATTTATTTATTTGACAGAGAGTTCACAAGCAGGCAGAGAGGCAGGCAGAGAGAGAGGAGGAAGCAGGCTCCCTGCTGAGCAGAGAGCCCGATGCGATGCGGGGCTCGATCCCAGGACCCTGAGATCATGACCTGAGCCGAAGGCAGCGGCTCAACCCACTGAGCCACCCAGGCGCCCCCAGGTGAAAGGCTTTAAGCAAAGGTGCTGATTCAAGCAGAATAAGCAATACATGAAAAAACGTGAAAACTGTCAGGTTGTAAGGGGTTCTTGTATGTCATACCGAAAAGTTTAAACACAGACAATAGGAAGTGTTCCACAATTTTGAAATGAAAAAGTGGAAAACGAGTCTCCCTGTTCTCAGCATTTTATTTTAAGGCACAGACATCAATCCTCTTACCGCTGTATAAAGGTTGCTAAGTAATGGCAGTCATCATCGTCTAACATTTGTTAAGTGTTTTAATACATGCTGGCACTAGTACTCACATAGTCATCTTTGCTGACTTACCGGGCATAGACTAGTTAAGTAATTTGGCCAAGATCATATAGCTAATAAGTGGCAGACCTCAGATTTGGACTCAGATCTACCTGACTCTAGAGCCTGAGCATGGCTGAAGGATGGTGAGGAATTTGAGAGCAGCCCCAACATCACCTATTTTGGCCATCAGCAATTTCTTTCACACTCATAAGTTAACCTATAAAAGGGCAGAATCATAGCTTCCGTAACTTTAATATACCACAGACCTCTGCTTTCTCTAGATGATAACCCACGTCCTTGGAGATCCTGTATTAGTTTTCTGTTGTTGTGTAATAAATTACCATAAATTTAGCAGCTTAACACATACCTGCAATCTCAGTGTTTTCACGGATCAAGAGTCTGACGTGGCCTGGCTGTGTTCTCAGTGTCTCACATGGGTGATAGAAGGCTGCTTTCTTTCTCCAGGGTTTGGGGGCCTCTTTCAAATTCTTGGCAGAATTCAGGTCTTTGCCATTGTAGTCAGTTTTCTTGCTGGCTGCTGACTATGGCCATTCTCAACTCCCCCCACCATTCCCTGCTACCATGGCCTTCTCAGCATGGCAATTATTCCTTCAAGGGAAATGGGGAAAATCTCCACTGCCTCAGTTTCTGACTTCCTCCATTTCTGATGGCTTGACCCAGATTTAAAGGGCTCATGTGGTTAGATAAGGTCTGTCTGAATAATCTCTCTTGATTAACCCCAAATCAACTAATTTGGCTGATTTGTAATTTGTCAGTGCACATTTGGGTTGCTTCCATATCTTGGCTCCTGTAAATGACACTGCAAGAGACAGGACAGTGCAATCTGTATTTCCAAATTAATGTTTTTATTTTCTTTGGGTAATTCCCCAATAGTGGAATTACTGGATTGTATGATATTTCTATTTTTAATTTTTTGAGGAACCTCCCTGCATGGCTGCACCAGTTTACATCCCTACCAACAGTGCATAAGTATTCCTTTTGCTCCGTATCCTTGTCAACACTTGTTACCTGTCTTTTCGATTCTAGTCTTCCAACAGGTGTAAGGTGATTCTCATCGTGGTTTGGTTTGGTTTTGTTTTAAAGATTTTATTTATTTATTTATTTGACAGACAGAGATCACAAGTAGGCAGAGAGGCAGGCAGAGAGAGAGGAGGAAGCAGGCTCCCCCCTGAGCAGAGAGCCCGATGCGGGGCTTGATCCCAGGACCCTGAGACCATGACCTGAGCCGAAGGCAGAGGCTTTAACCCACTGAGCCACCCAGGCGCCCCCTCATCATGGTTTTGATTTGGACTTGCCTGCTGATTAGTGATGTTGAGCATCTTTTTATGTGTCTTTTGGTCATCAGCATGTCTTTTGTTGTTGTTGTTGTTAGAGAGAGAGAGAGTGCACAAGCAGGAGGAGCAGCAGACAGAGGGAGAAGCAGGCTCCCCGCTGAGCAAGGGGACTTGATTCCAGGAGACTTGATCCCAGGACCCTGGGATCATGACCTGAGCCAAAGGTAGATACTCAAATGACTGAGCCACCCAGGCATCCCAATTTGTTTGTTTGTTTTTAACTGTCTATTCAGGCCCTCTGCCCACTTTTTTAAAAAAAGGATTTATTTGTTTATTTGAGAGAGAGTGTGCATGCGAGTGGAGGGGAGAGGAGTAGAGGGAGAGGTGAAGCCGACTCTGCTGAGAGCAGAGCTCAGTGCATTCCACAGCCCTGAGATTCTGACCTGAGCGGAAACCAAGAGTCACACTCAACTGACTGAGCCACCCAGGCATCCTCCTCTGCCCATTTTAAAATCAGATTATTTATTGTTTATTTTTTGGTTTTAAGTTATTTATATATTTTGGGCATTAATGCATTAGCAGATTTGCATTTGCAAATATCTTCTCTCATTCAGTAGGCTGCCCTTTTGTTGATGGTTTCCTTGGCTGTGCAAAAGGTTTTTTAAATTTTTTTGGTTTTTGTTTGTTTTTTGTTTTTGTTTTGTTTTGGTATAGTCCCAATACTTTATTTTTCCCTTTTTGTCCTTGCTTTAGGAGACATACATATCTAGAAAAATGCTGCTAAGGCCAGTGTCCAAGATATTACTGCCTATATTTTCTTCTAGAAATTTTATAGTTTCAGGTCTCACATTTAGGCCTTTCATTCAATCTGAGTTTGTTTCTGTGTATGGTATAAGAAAAAGGGTCCTGTTTCAGTCTTTTGCCTATAGCTGTCTATTTTCCCCAGAACCAATTATTGAAGAGACTGTCTTTTCCCCATTGTATATTCTTGCCTCTCTGTTGCAGATTATTAATTGACTAGAAAAGCATGGGTTTATTTCTGGGCTCTGTATTCTGTTCTATTGGCCTATGTGTCTGGGTTTTTTTTTTTTAAGATTTTATTTATTTATTTGACAGACAGATCATAAGTAGGCAGAGAGGCAGGCAGAGAGAGAGAGGGAAGCAGGCTCCCTGCTGAGCAGAGAGCTCGATGTGGGGCTTGATCCCAGGACCCTCAGATCACGACCTGAGCTGAAGGCAGAGGCTTTAACCCACTGAGCAACCCAGGCACCCCTATGTGTCTGTTTTTGTGCCAGTATCATACTGTTTCAATTACTACAGCTTTGTACTATACCTTTAAACTTGGGATTGTGACACCTCCAACTTTGTTCTTTTTTTTTTTTTTTTAAGATTTTATTTATTTATTTGACAGACATCACAAGTAGGCAGAGAGCCACCCAGGCGCCCCAACTTTGTTCTTTGTTAAGATTGCTTTGGCTTTTTGAGGTCTTTTATGGTTCTGTACAAATTTTAGTATTATTTTAGTTCTGTAAAAAAGATTGTTGGTGTTTTGATAGGGATTGCATTGACTATATAGATTACCTTG